CTCATCGTCACCAGTTTCCCCTATTACTTACATCTTGCATTAGCACTATGCATTTACTATAAGTGACAAACCCACACTATTCAAACTAAAGTCCACTCTTTGTATTGGAGTTTGCTCTGTGCATTGTGTAGCTCTGTGGGTTTTGCTGAGTGCACAGGGGTGGGTATCCACCATGATGGAGCTTATACAGATGAAAGTCATTGTCCTAAAACTCTCATATGCAGCCTCATCAACACTGCTCGGGGATTTGTCCCCAGCTCAGCTCACAGCACTCCTCCCTCACTCCAAGGATTCACCCACCCACCTCCACACAGCCCTATGACGTCCTGCACTATGTGTGGGTGGAACGGGCTTGTGACCCAAGCAGTAAACTGCCTTTTAGCAGAGGATGGGTCTGGAGGTAAATCATTGGCCTGCAGGTGTTTCGGGATCCCACTGGCCCTTTGATTCTGTGGCATGTCCTGATTTCTCTACCACAGTGACACAGGCTTCTGTTCCGGGGTGGGTGGTGGGTTGGGTTCCATGCCTGCTGTTAAAAGTCTTTCTCAGCAATGGCCCCAGTGGGAAACCACTAGAACTCATACCTCTGATCCTTCTTTGCAAGATGAGAACTCCCAGAGTGACTGTCTCACTTAGCAAGAAAAGCAAAAAGTCCGCTGCCAAGGTTTGACAAGCAGAGACCCAGAATCTCTAGGAACTGCCTGTGAATCCCAACAGGTCTCACTGTAGCCTCCCAGGTTCTCCACTTCATAAAATAAAACTGAGCTGCAACAGACATGAAGGCTGGACATTCACATGCTGGCCATGCAAATAAGGTGCAAAACAGCCAGGGTGGGTTTGTAGCTGAGTGGTAGTGCACTGGCCTAACATGGATGAGTTCCTGGATTCCATCTCCAACACCAAAAAATAAAATAAATAAAATAAAAAGGGACAGTCTCACCTCCTACCAAAACTGTAGGGTTCTGTTTTCTGGATGCTTCTTTCCCATCACTTTCACTATCCCAAGGGCTGGGGTCCCTAGACCAGCAGGTCAGATTCCCAACAGGCTATATGATGTGGAAAATAGCAATGTGTCACCATTTGATCCTGAACCAGTAGACTTTGAGGCTCAACACCTCTGCCCCAAGCTGTTCTTGGCAAATACCATCCATATAGAACAGAGGGAAATATTTGCAATATGTCCTGTGGAAGCCAGGGTGAGGCCATTTCTCAAAAATGTTCAGCTCCTCATTTCCAAGCAATGCTTTCCATATGGGCTTATCAGAAACTAGTTTCACTTGGAGTGGAGTGGAGTAGGGAAGGACAAGGCAAGGGATGAAGACCAGGTGGAGAAGAAAGCAGAGTGGCCTAAGATCTAGCTTAATGATGATGTGTGTCAATGTGGGAAAATGTATGGTGTTTAATCCTAAAAAACATGGTGAGCCACTTCCCTCCCTATGAACAGTATTACATACCATTTCTATATGAACGGAATCAGAGCTGCAAAGCAATTTACATCCAGTTTTTGCATTAATTTCAGGAACTGACTATTTTTAGAAGATTCATGAAAGTCAGCCTAAAACTCAATGTCCTGGGGGATATTCCACAGTCCTTGGAAAAAAAGAACATGAGGTGGGGAATAAGAGCTGTGGGTGACAGAGAGCTTAGCCTGACACCCAGGGAGAGGCCACGCTCCAGGACCCCAGGAGCAGGGCCAGCACATCCACCCACCTCTCCATCCTCCCTGCATCTTCCACTGGGGGCTGCCCAGGTCCTTGCATGGGGATGGCAACCCAGGAGGTGATCAGAGCAGCCAACCCCAAATACTCTGCCACCACACACCCTGACCCTTCCCCTTGCATTGACATCAAGGCAGAGCACATGCCCATATGCTACCTGCTCCATCTCCAGGTCCCTCCAGCAGACTGCCTGAGCAAAAGATGGCCTGGTAGGGGTCACATCACATAGAGACAACAAACCTGACGTGTAAAACAGAGCGAGAGCCACTGAGGACCGAAACAGGGACTTTATGTTAGTCTGTCTAACCTACTCAGAGATTAAAGTAGCTACTGCATCTCTAAAACCATGAGAAAAGGCATAATAAACAAGAATCAACAGGGGTTATAGAGAGGAAAGTTCTAGCCTTACAATAGAATAATTCTTAAATGTAGAGTAGCCACCGAGATCAAATTAATACAGTGGCAGTTCTTGCAAAGTAACTCCCTCAGAACACAGCACAAAGTTTTGGAAGAACATTATACACAGAGCTATAAATATATACAGGACCCATCAGACACCATCAGCAGGACAGCAGGGAGAGGGTAGAGGGGCTAGGCACTGGATCTCCCAGACAGGAAAACTAAGAGCTCAAGGAATTCCAAGCAGGATAACATTGTCAGCCCACACCTGGACAGGCTACCTTCAGGTTTTAGCACCCCAAGCACAAGGAGAAGCTGGGCTGTGGTGCAGGGAGTGGTAGGAAGCAGCTGGGAAGGGCTGCACTGCCCAGGGAGTAATTTACAAAACAGACAGCCACTAAGCATATTGATCCAGGAAGGGATGAGGGCAGCAAATGAAGAGACACTGGAGATGAGGGCAAAGAAACAGCTGCATCCTGAAATCCATGGAAGACAAGATGCAGGCAAAACACAAGTGGGAGCATCACCATGAAGGAAAGTACACTTGGTCCAGGCGGGGCTGCTCAGATCCATGTCCACTGTGGGGCTGGCAACCTGAGGTTTCTGGCTTCTTCCCAACCCATCAATCTCCAGCCCAGGCCAAGAGACCTGGACAGAAATGCAGTTGTTGAGAGCCTCACAGTTCAGTCTTGTCTTTTCAAGCTAGCACTTAAAAGCTTTGCACCCTTTGAATGTCAGTGCCCCCAGAATGACTAGGAAATCACTGCATCAAATTCTGGCTCTGCCTACAAGTCCCATGATGAGATCACTAATATATGATTCAAGCATATCATGAATCTTCCTTCTGTATAGAACTAGGATAATAGTTTCTACACTGTCATGTCCTACTTCACAAGGGAGTCAGATTAAATAAAGCAAATTGTAAAGAAGCTGGATATCCCTCACCAGGCCTGAAAAACATGCCATAGTTTACTACTCTGGTATACAAAAGCCATGGAGAGGACAGGACTTTTCTGGCTCCCTCAAGATTAGAATGCTTTACTCATGGTGTTAGCATAGTCTCCAAAGTCAACCCTCCACCTCAACTTAAAGGAGGAGAGATTTATTTGGCTCATGGTTTCAGAGGATTCAGTCCATGGAAAGCTGACTCCTAGGAAAGATCGTCATGACACAAAGGCATAACAAAGGAAAGTTGCTCAGTTTGTGGCAGATAGGAAGCAAAGGAGAGGAACAGTGTCGGAGAAGAAGGGGACAAGACACACTTCATGACACACCCAGATACACACAGAAATATGCTTCACCAATCTCTGAGGCAACTCTAAAGTCAACCATTTAGGCTTAACCATCACAAAGACCAGTGTATGGGGGTAGCTTGGATGGGGACATAATAAGGCTGCAGCAGGAATATAGTCCACACACTCTGACTCATTCCACAGTTTGCCCTCAGGAACTTGCAGGTCCAGCTCATGGTGGTTCAGTCACTTGGCTATTCAGCTTTACCACCCTGCAGAACTCAAATGGGAATGAACATTCTGACAAAACCATGGAGAAAGAAGTTTTCCATTGGCCAGAAAAGGTATGATAAGGTCTGGGTCTCTGTTTCTCTAATCGCCTGGCACAATGTCAGCCATGCACATTTTGGTTCATTTTATAAAGCAACGACAGGACTCCACTAAGAATGTAAGCCTCTGCATGGCTGTGGTTATATCAAACGCAGTCCCAAACTAGCCAGGAACACTAACTGTCCTTCTCATTATGTCTTTAAGTTTCCATCATAAACTCTGTGAGATGCCAGGCAGTGGCTACTGGGACTATTCTAACACTTCATGGGGCAGAAGAAGTCCATCTGTGCTGGGCCAGGCCTGTGGTCATCCTCAGGGAATGTTCTAACAGCCAGTACATATAAACTAACACACACACACACATGCAACACATATAAACTAACACACTCACATATACGTATTCATACATGAGCCAGCATACACACACATACACACATATACACCTACACAAGGAAACAGAACCAGTCTCTGGGCAGGTTGAAATCTCTGCTTATGACACACACCTGGCTAACTTACTAACAGTTTACCTTAAAATAATGCTTCACAGTTTTACAAATAGCTTCTCAGCACTCTCTCACTTGATTCTTACATAGGCCTGGCATGTATGGTCATCCTCATTTTTACAAACCCCATGTTGATGGGGTTTTTTATTGTTGTTGTTTATTTTTTTGGTACCGGGGATCAAACTCTGGACCTTGCACTTGTGAGGCAGGTGGCGGAACCACTGAGCTAAAAAACCGGCCCCCAAGTTGATGTTTTTAAGAATAGCAGGAACCATACAGCTCTGGCTTCAAATCCAGCTTCACTCTCCACTAGCCATGTGACCTTTCAAAAATATTTAACATCGTTCGGTTATACTTTCCTCATCTGAAATGGGAGGACAAAATCTACTACCAGAGGACTGTGGTGAAAATTTTATAGAAAGTACTCAGGATGCATTTGATTACAGACAGGTGATTTTTCTAATAAAGAAAAGTGTGACTAATCTGGAGCTTTCCCATCTGTACGTGGTAGAAACGGGAAAGGTCACCCCAACTCAAGCTGCTGGCTAACTGCAGAAAAGCGAGGCACCTGCCCTGTGCTCCCCATATACAGACACCTGCATTCCTTTTTCTGCTAGCATTGCTACCCAGTGCAGGCCCTGCCCCTTGGCCACCTGGGCACCCACATGTCTTCTAGCTGCTGGCATCCCTGTCACAGCATGGCGGGAGGTGGCTCCTATAATCTCTTCCACTGCTGCTATGTGCTGGACTCAGCCCCTGGGCCCCAGCCACCATCAGAGCCTGTAGGAAGGAGAACAGGAGTCACCGAACTCAGGGATTCCCCACAAGAACAAAGGTATTTGGCCCCTTGCAGGTGCCTTCAAAAACAAGAACCTCTTTATTTAAAATGTACAGAAACAAAGGCTTTGCTTAGCCAGCTATTCACATTATTTTCTCTTTTACTGCCAAGAAATTCTTCACTTTATATATAAGTCCTCTCTGTAAAATTCAATCTGTGTCTTCGTTATCAACATTAGAGCCATAAGGACCAAATTGCAGGTGTCTACTCTAAATATTCATCTTCCCTTGTCCTGTCAGCCAGCCAGCATCAGTTGTTACAGACTGGAAGAAAACATAGCAAACAACTGTCATCCCCTCATTCTGTAGCAGCAGCAAAAGTAACACGTAGAGAGGGTAAGGGAAACTCAAATACTCTTTTTTTCTCTTTGATGTATATTCTTTAGCCTAGTTGTTTGTTGCCTGTTCTTTTTTTGTCATTACCAGTTGGACTGCACTTTTTGAAAATGTGGAGATAAAACCTGGACATAATATTTTAGTCATAATTTTACAAAATTTTCCAATCAATTCTACTTGAGTGATGCTAGTGGAATTTACCATGAGACAAGTTATAATCTTTGTGTCTGTCCATCATCATCAAAAATGTCTGGAACACTTCCCATGTGCCAGCTACTATGCTAGAGTAAGATACAAGCCCATGAGGAAGTAGTGCCCAAGTATACGTGAAGATCATTCCCAGAGAGATATGCAAATGAAGAAACCAATGCCGGTATATCTTAAGCCTTTACAACATCCTGGACACACCAGTCAACCGTGAGATGATAAGAAACGTGTGTAAGGTAACACACAGGAAACAGTGGAATCTCTGCTTGAGAAAAGTCAAGCACCACTTTATAAAGAAGACACAAACATGGTTATTAAAGAAGAGAAGTTCTCCAGGCCAAAAAGGAGGATCAAAGAGCAGAGAAGAGTGGAATCATGGCAAAGAAGCATCAAATACTCAGTTGGGTTAGAGGTAGTGGCTGAGGGGGAGGGGTAAATGAAGGACCCCTTTGCCAAACTTAACCCTGAAGTCTAGCAACATAAAAGTGTCTAACAAGGATGTGATATGATCATCTTTTATTTTGCAAGAAGTAGTATAGAGATTGCATGAAAAGCATATGAAGCCAAAAAGGAAACCTGAATCTTCTAAATGAGAGATGATATGGATCGGAATTAAAACTTTAGCAATGGGAAAGATGTAAGAGACCGAGGAAGAGAGGAGGCAGAGATCACACCACTGTGCAGAAGGGATGCTCCCAGGTCTGGATGGGTAACATGGCAAGTGGTATGGTCAGGTTCTGGTGCTGAGAGACCACAGAAGAAGCTGACACAGGTCCAGTGCACTTTCAATGAGTCTGAGTGAAAATATGGGTGAAGGTATACAATGAGGGCATTCATTTAGGGATGTGGAGCTGAAGTAGGTTCTGGAGTGAAGGTCTTACCATTCCATCAAAATGGGATGGAACTTCATTTCAGTCTATACTCTCACCTCTTGGGTTTGGTTCCTAGGACATCCCATCACCCTCCTTCTTGAGTTCTTCTCTTTCTGAGTCATTAACAGGTTTGTGGAACATTTTACTGCACAGGAAATAGAACATACTGTTGGCTTGAGGGTTGTATTCCCAACTGAAAACTCCATGTCTCTACGTGAGCTGGTCTAGGCCTGATTTTAAACAGCAACACAAAGGTGTATGCTGACTTGGCAATGGTGACCTCTCTGAACACAGCTTTGGAGTGTGCCCTGATTTCAGCATATGGCCCTGAAGGGGGACCCAAGTACAGTCTAAATGAATTGGGATTAACAGCTTTGGTCCTTTCGTGAATTTTGGTCACGATGATGTAAAATATTCAGTAAACTATATAATCAGGTATAAAATGTAAATTCTGTTACATTCTATTTGATAAATGTGTTTAGGGGCATCATGGTCATTAGAAAACATGGCCAAACACCTGCACACACAGGCCTCCTTCACCAAACCAGAAAGCTGCAGAAATAGGGCCTACCTTTCAGGAGCTATCATCTGGGACACTGGAACTTCACTCCAGCCTCCAGTAAGAACCAAGGGTAAGGAGAGGGCAGGGAATATGGGACTGCAATGTCTGCAGAAAGAATGAATGCTGCCTCTGAAAAAGAGATTGAGGAGGATATAAGAAAATGGAAAGACATCCATTGTTCCTGGGTAGGAAGAACCAATATAGTGAAAATAGCAATACTTCCAAAACTAGATTTAATGCAATACCAATTGAAATTCCAACAATATACTTCACAAAACTGGAGAAAACAATCCAAAAATTCATTTGGAACCAGAAGAGACCTAGAATAGCAAAAGCAATTCTAGGCAACCAGAGACATGGCTGGG